CACACCCTATTCCAGGTGCCCACCATCAGGCATGCATTCAGGACAAGGATCCATCATCTATCCTGATGGCGGAAGGGCAGAAAAGCCTGATATTTTCTTTACCCTACAGTCCACCCCCTCAGGGTTTTCTGCCATACAGTCTATACATATATACACAATTTTCTAAGCAAACAAACAATGCAGCCATGGCCCACAAAAGCAAATACATCAAATAACAAAATACAACATAACAAAATACAACAGAACACAAATAAGTCCAGGCAGGGCACCAACCAAGTGCAAAAGACAATTATTGGTATCAGCAGATGAGCCACCAAATCTGCTGCCGAAGGCACTGCTCATACGAGGGAGGGGAAATCACACACGGCATCTGCTATAACACACCAGGAGCCGTCAGGCTTCCTGGCCTTCTCCGGCTGTAGTCTCGGCTACAAGGCACACACAGCATCCACCCCCAGGATGCACTAGCTCTGGGATTGGCAATTTTATTCTGTTGGGGGTAATCACCAACCCTCAGGGTTTCTGTCTGCAGTCGCTCCAACACTCGGCCTTCATGGCCACCCATGCGACTCACAGACCCCTGCACTCAAGCCAACCCACTGCACAATCACATGGGTAGGGGATCCAAACTCTGCATTCGGCTTGGGCTCCACCCCAAGCCACATTCCCCACCCGTCCCCCAAGGACAGGTTCCTCAGCTCCTCACCCTCGCTCAAGAATGAGCAGGGCATCACCCACAGGTGATTTTACGAGACTCACAGTTCTTCAGCATACCCAGGCTGCTTAACAGCCGCTCAGGGCTTCTCAACTTATCATCAGTACCAGCTTTTGCTTTCTCAGTTGGCTTTTCTCCTCCACCTGGCCACTGGGCATACACAGGCTGCTTTTGGCCATCTAGGCCCACTGGCCACCCCCAGATTCTCAAAAAATAAACATAACCTGCTAAGGTCCTCCGCCTTCTGGCAGGATTGTCAGTCCAAAATCATCAGTTCATCAGTCTATCAGTCCATTGGCCTCTCCCTGCTTCAGCAATGGCCTGCTGCCTCAGGGGTCATTGGCTGGTCCTTTCCGGTGTCGTTGGCTGGTCCTATCCGGTGTCGTTGCCTGGTCCTTTCCGGTGTCGTTGGCTGGTCCTTTCGGGCGTCTCCTTCACGCCAGGTCTCATCCTGTAGCTCGTGGACGTATCCATCTTCTATACCGCCATGGTGCCTCCAGCGTCGTCACAGGCAAAGTCTGTTCTCCTTAGTCCCTCCAGGTCTTCGGAGGGCTCCAATACCCGTCTGCATGGATCCTGCCGACTACGCCAATTGTAAGGGGCAGGACAGGGCACAGTGCAGGTTTTCTGATCCCATGCAGATCGGGTAAAGGAGGAGTCAGAGTCCTCAGTAGTTTTGCAGGTTTTTTATTTGGGGTTCACCAGGCATATGGCAGGCAGGGGTGCTAGCTGGGGGGCTGGGAGGCTGGCAGGCCTCCCAGCCCCCAGCAAGTCCTCACTCTATCTGGGCTCTCTAGCTTTCGTTCTGCTGCTTCTCGGCTTCGGCTGCGGCTGCTGCTGGTGCTGGTGCTGCTGCTGCTTGCGTCCCCCCGTGATGCCGCCCTTAAAAAGCACAGTCTTAGCTCAGCTGAATCCCATCTACCTATGCCCACACCCTATTCCAGGTGCCCACCATCAGGCATGCATTCAGGACAAGGATCCATCATCTATCCTGATGGCGGAAGGGCAGAAAAGCCTGATATTTTCTTTACCCTACAGGAACAGATCTCAAACTTTGGGAACGCTGTCGCCTTGCCCACTGCCTCCTCCTCCCAGCCTTCCTTCCCAGGGCTTTGGTTGTCCCTGAGCCCTGCCCTGCACCTGGCTTGAGTGGGGCTGTGCATTCTCCCCACCTGTTCACCGCCCCGGTCCACCCAGCTTGTCTCCTGGGCAACCCGCCTGACGTCACTGGCAGCTCTGGCGTCTGGCCCTGGAAGAGAAGCAGCTGGTGGCCGAATCATGTTTCCAGGTAAATCTCCACCCCCACGCCAACTCCCAGAGGGGCTGGGTGGGGTGACCAGGGAGAAATGGAGCAGGGGCACCGGTCAGAGCTGCTGGGAACAGCCAGCATAGCGGCCTCTCAGCGCCTGAAATCGGGCCAGCTCCTGTCCTAGATAAGGCAGTGGGTGGCCTACTTGGGCAAGCCCTGGAGCTCCCCCGCAGGCACCTCTCCCAGGCTCTGGGTAGGGGTGGGCTGGCTCCTGGAAGTAGGCTAGGGCCCGGCTATAATCAGCTCATCCCACTGGGTCCATCCGGCAGGGTCTCCAAAGCGCTTCATGTCTGGATGACCACAGCTGGCATTTATTGAGCACTTCCTGTGTTCTGAGTCCTTTCTATGCAACAACTCACTTCACCCTCACGACAGCCCTGTAAGGTGGGAATTATCATACCCTCCACTTCACAGACAAGTAACCGAGGCACAGAGTGACAAAGATAAATGTCCAAGGCCTCAGCTAGCAAGGACAGGGCTGGAATCACACCCAGTTTCTGTGGGACTCACATAGTTTGTGAGTGGGAGTAGTTCCAGCTGCTGTTCTGCATTTTTGTGGGGATACTGAGATCTTTCTTGCAGAGCTGAACACATGGCAACTGAGCAGCTATCCCCCTCAGAATTCAGTTTTCCCAAGTGTAAAACTGAGCTGGTAACCCAGCCACCATGGGCTATCAGGTAAACCAACTGAGGACCTATGAAGCTGCTTAGAAAGGAAAAGGCCAGGTGTGGTATAGTTTGATGGATTCAAATTTTGGACTCTAGGTGACTCTGAGGTATAGTACAATCATCCCAGACAGGGTAGGTTCATCATCAGTTCAAGCAGCCTCTCTGTTGTCTTAGCTGATCTCATGACATTCTCCATTGTACTCTTCGCCATACTCCACTGCCACTCCACACCATGCCACTCCATGCCATGCCACACCACGCCACTCCATGCCACGCCACATCTACCGTCCTCTGATGGTTCTTCTGTTTTTCCTACTTGTTCTGCTGGTGTGCCTGTGATACCGCCCTTATAAGCCTAGTCTCTCAGCCCAGGTGTGCCCACCTATGCCTGCCCACACCCTACTCCAGGTGTCTGCCATCAGGCATGCATGTAGACTGCGGGGATCCATCATTAATGCTAATGGCAGGGGTGGGGGAGTGGAGGGGGGCAGATCCTGATAGTTTTCACTTACCCTACATGGGGTTTCCCCATCTAATAAGTGAAGGAAAATACCAGTGCTTCGCTTTCATATATGTGGTGTGGATTCCAAGAAGAGGAATTCAAAAAGACCTAAGCACAGTTCCTGGGTATATAATATAATTAGTGTTCCCCAGATCTCAACTAAACCCATCACTGCCAAAAACATGCCTTGGAGAAAAAACACACAGGAAGAGTGTCACTTCACATCTCTTAACTTCAATTTCCTCTATAAGTGGAAGTACAATACCAGTACAGCCCCTGTCAGTTTTCTCATCTGTAAAATACGGGTGTAAAATAATACCCACCTCACTGTTATGTATTAGCTTCTGTTATTTCCACTTTACCAAATTCCTCATACGGTTGTTTTTAATGCAACAATGCAGATAATGCACTCAGCATAGCGCTCTGCCTCAAACATGGGCTCACTAAAAGAGACGGGTTTCTACCCCGGCTTCCCGATAAGCGGACTACAAGTACCAGCCTGCCCAGCGCCCTCAGTCGGGGCTCCTCCGCTCGGCGCCGGCGCGCTGCACGCCGGGAGTTGCAGTCCTCCCCAGGAAGGTCCCGCCTCGCCCTAGCTTGGGGACGGGTTGGAGAGCCGCCCTGCCGGCCTTTGAATTTTGCCGCGAAAAGCGCGCGTGGCGGCCCCCGGCCCCGCCCCCTGCAGGACGCGGCGCCGCGTCACCCTGGTAACCGCCTCTCGGCCGCCGCTGATTGGGCTGGGCTGCGGGGGGCGGGCGAGGGGCGAGGCGCGGTGGCTGCTGCCGGCGCTCGAGCCTGTCAGTCGGGCCGGAGCGGAGCAGCGGGCAGGACGGCCGGGCCGGCGGCTCCGCGGAGAGGCTGCGCGCGCCAGCCGGGGAGCGACGAGCCGGGCCCGCCGCCCGCGCGGCGCGGCGCGCGGCCCCCGGGCCTGAGGCGAGGCGAGGCGCCGGCGCGCGCCAGGCGGCGCGAGGCTGAGGCCCCGGAGCCCCCGCGCGCCGCCCGGGCCATGGGCGCGTGAGAGTCCGGGCGCGCCGCCCCTGCTGCAGCTCGCGGGCTCGCCCGCCGGTCCGGCGCCCTCCGGCCGCCCCCACGTCCGCCCTGCGCCGCCCGGACCGGCTGTTTCTCAGCGCCGAGGTCTTGGGCTGCAGCCCAGCCTCCGCCGCCCGCTGCCGCGGCGCCTCGGCCTCCCCTCCCCCCACGCCCGGCTCGGAGCAGGAGGAGGAGGAGGGGCCGGTGCTTTCTCGCCGCCGCTCCGTGCAACCTGCGGGGGCCGGTGCACGCCCGGTGAGGAACCCGGGCCGCGGCAGGTGCGTGCAACCTCGGAGGAGGGGGCGACCCCCCACCCCCGCGCGGACCCGGGGGCCGCGAGCCGCGGGCGGGCGCCCGAGCGAGAGGAAGCAACAAAGACAGGCTGCAGCTGGGACCCGCGAGCCGGGCCGCGGCCGCCGGCCTCCCGGCGCGGTTGCCGCGGGCGCCCCAGGGAGCGGCGCGGCCCGAGCTGCAGCCCCGAGCGCGGCCCGGAGGGGAGGCGCAGCGCCGCCCGCCGGACGCGGCGAGGACAGACCCCCGCGAGGATGCGCCGCCGGGGCGCCCGCACGGCCGGGGTCCCGGACGCGCGCGACCCGCGCTGAGCGGAGACACCCCCCGCCCGCCAGCCCCCCACTTCGGACGGCGGGGCGGGCGGCTGCATCGCCGGCGCCGACGGGGTCCCTGCCCCCCGGGAGAGGCCTCGCCCCCAAGGGGGCTTCCTCGGACTGCCGCCGGCGCCTCTGCATGGCCGCGACCCCGCGAGCGCACAGCCGTCGCCGCTGAGGACCGGGGCCCCTGACGGCCCGCCGGCCGGTGAGTTCCCGGGCGGGGTTCCGAACGCGAGTTGGGGCGTCCTGGCGTCGGCGCAGCCGGGATTGAAAAGAAAGCTGCCGCGGGCGGTGGGGGATCCTGATGCCCCTGTTCGCCTCTGTCCCTCCCCTGCGTAACTTGCCGGGGCCCGACAGCCGCCCCGACTGGAGGTGGGGACCCGGGGGGCTCCGCGGGGTTCGGGGCGGGGCGGAAGCTGGAGCGGAGGGGTCACCTGAAGTCAACTGACAAAGATAGAGACTCCATCTCTGAAAATTCCCCAGGAGCTCCCGAGCCTTTGGAGGGGTTGCGTGGGGTGCACCCAGGATGGGACAGCTCGGGGTTCTCCCAAGTAGCTCCTGAGCTCTTAGAGGGACATCAGCTCAGAGAAGGATGTGGAGGGTTGGCCATGTGGGTGGCTGCTTTTTAGGGTTGTGCCCTCTGAGGGTAGACAGTAGGAGCCACGTTCTTACAAAAAACTCGCAGGGATTTGGGGTTCCCCGGAGGGGGCCGTGGAGTGATGTCACTGCTGGGTCTCTGATGTCACTGGAGTTACCGTGGCGACTCAACTTGTCTTGACCCAAGGCCGGAGGAGGCGGGTCGCGGTAACCAGGGGGCGGGCCTGGATGCCTTTGGGCAGTGGAGGAGTGAAAGCCGGGTACCCCCACCCCCACCTGCAGTCCGCTGACCTAAATCCCCCCCGAGACTGATGAGGTGGGGGAGGGAGGCAGTCCCAGCTGTCCCTGCTGATGCTCCTTCCCCCCAAGGACAGGTGTTCAGCCCATATAGCCTGGCAGTGCCTGGGGGCTCAGAACTCCTAAACAGCAACTTTCTGCTTTCAAAAGGCATGCCACAGGGGAGACCTCCCTGTACACCCCACACACCCAGCCAGCAGATTGAAGTTTACAAGGACCCCAGAGAGATGTGGGTCCCCGGTCTTTAAAAAGGCTACTTCCCCTCAGGAAAGTATGGGTGACCCACCCCCAGCCAGAAGGTACAGAGGAGCTTACTACCCCCCAGATCCAGGGCATCTCCCTGCTGCTCAGCCCCAAGATGAGGGGCCTTGATTAAGCCTAACCCCCAACTGCCCCGTCTCCATTTGGTGTTGAAGATGATGTTGACTGGCCCAGGTGGTGCTCCTTAGGGGAATGGCCAAGGGCTGAAAAGTGTGTCTCTGCCAGGCTCTGGCTTTGATGGGGTCAGGCCCCAGCCCTCTCTTCCCCACCACTGGCCCAGCTTCCTGTGAAGGCCCAGGGCACCTACTGCTGGCTGTGATTCCTAAGTTCCTTCCAGCAATTGCTGCCTGAGTCAGATGTGGGTGAAACTGCTGTGATCACATTTCTAGGAAAAGGTTAGAGAACTGTGTCAATGCTTCAGCAGCATTGGAGAGTTGGGGGGGGGGCAGAGCAGAGTGTGTGTGTGTATGTGTGGGAGGGGGGGCATTATGAGAAGCCAGACCCCAGTCTCTATGCAGTGAGCATTTTTTTCTGTTCTGCTAGGCTCTCCAGCTAGATTAACAGGTCAATAAATATCAGTGGAGCTGCTTTTGGGGGCTTGGCAGGGAGATGATATTTCCAGCTGAAATGGTGTCGTTAAACACACAGGCTTCCAAGGACAGGAGCAACAGCAGATGGGGGGAGAGGTGGGCAGAAGGGCTGTTTGTGCTCTGCCTCTCGAAGCTTCCCAGTTTAGAAACAAACTCGGAGTGCGCGCCAGAGATCCACAAACACAGGCAGTTGGAGGTCCTCCGTGGAGTATTTACACTTCCATAGCCAAGGCGGAGGGAAGGGCTGTCAGAACCAGGCAATTCCTTCTGTTCCCTTCCCTGGGCTTGGCAGTAGCACCAAGTGATGAGCAGGAGGGAGTGCCAGCTTGCCCAGCCTCTCCCTGTGTGTCAGGCACTTTATAAGATCTGTTACTCCTTGGAGTGGCTCTTTTGTTTGCTGCGGCCCATTTTACAGATGGAGAAATTGAGGCTCAAAGGAAGTGGCAGCCTGTGGGTGCTCAGCCAGGCAACCGCAGAGGTTCAGCTCTGAATTCCTGGGCTCCAGAGTCCCCAGGTCTTCCCGCCAGTGGCAGGAGGAGAGGTACCCCAGTTGTTGGAGAGGGCCCCTGTGAGAGGCAGGGCTGTGAGCTTTGGAGTCTGGCCTTACCAAGATCCCTTGCCACACTGAAAACCAGATTTGAATCTGATTTCCCTAGACGTACAGGACATTGTTGAGCAGAACAGCATCTTCTGCCCTTGCCTTGAGGTCAGCCTGCTCGCCTTGCCCATGGAACCCCTTTCTCCAGCAACAGAGAAAGGAAGATATATCAGGAAACCCACCTGCCAGGAAGGGTTGAGAGAACCGGCTGGGCCTGCAGCTCACCTGGGAAAGACAGTGAGGCCCAGCTGGTGGGGCAGCAAACAATGTAGACCTGGTCGTGAAACTTTGATAGATGGGGCTCCGGATCCAGCCTGAGAGTCAGGAAGGGCTGGGTAGGGGGGGTGCTGTGTGACGCTCAGGACAAAAAGGGGTCCTCCGGGCCGAGCAGTGGAGAGAGTGTTCCAGGCAATGAGAGTGGCCATGTCTTAGGCCTGTGAGTGCTGGGGTGTGCTGACCGTGGCCCCGACGGACTGTGTCCTGAGGCTTAGGTGAATGGGGCCATGGGGAGGTAAAGCAGGGAAGAGCTTAACCAGTTAGGGCTCCCTTGGCAGGAATGGCCACGTCTGCGGGAGCTGGGTGCTCTCAGCCCATCCGGGCAGTCCCCTCTCAAGGTTAGCTCTCATCCCCCAGCCCTCAGTGATCCTTATTACTTGTCTAATGCTACCTAAGCCTGCCCATCCCTGCCCCTTCAGAGCCTCACGGTTGCGGTGCACCAGGGCTGGGTGGGCTCTGAGCCCCCTGCATGAGAAACTGGAGGCTCCCCATCGGTAGGCAGTTGCTCCTGGTTAAGAGCCACTTGTTGGCGGCGTGACCTTGGGTGAGTAGCATTACCTCTCTGGGCTGAAGTTCCTTCACCTGTGAGAAGGAGCTGCTATGAGGGCCGGCATTGGAGGTGGGGAATCCATAAGCCCTCCATGGGCATCCATTCTTGTGGCCGCTGTTAGCCTGTCCTCAGAGCAGGGCCTTGAGTGCTCTCCAGCAGCTCTGGCTCCAAAGATCAAAGAACCCCAGGGCAGGGGCCCCCACCTTTCCAGCTGCCCCTGCGGGGTCCCCCACCCAGCTACCCGGGCTGTCCTGCACGGTGCGCACACGTGGCTGCCATCTGAGCCCCTGGGGGGCTGGGGCCTCGTCAGGGGGTCCTTCCCCAACCTCCTCCTGCCCCCTCCGCCTTCCAATCCTTCACAGACGGGAGGACGCGAGCGGAGCAGCTCATATTCATGAAGCGTAATTCAATCAGGCGGCGATTCGATTCCTCTGGGCTCGGGGCGGGGGTGAGAACGAGGAGGCGCGCACAAAAGGGCCGCTTTATTACCTCCCGCGGGCCGGGAATTGCTGCTCTCCCCCGGCAGCGGCCGGAGCCGCCTTTATTGTGTTAACCCATTTGCGTGTCAAGAGCTATTGTGCGCTGTCGCCGCCGGTGCGGGGCGGGCTGCGGGCGGAGGGCCGCGCTGGCCGGTCACCTCCGCGGGCGCCGCCCGCCGCCCTGATTGGTTGCTAAGTGATTTGCATCCAAGGTAATCACTTTTATCTCAGAAGGATGTCGACTATAATTATAAGCTACTGACATCTTTTGAAATCTGCCTAATGACTATTTTAGTCTGCACTGGCTGGGGGTGGGGAGGGGGCTCTGGAGGCGGAGGGGGTGGGTAGGAGGAGGCTGGAAGGGGAATGGATTCCTTCCACCTGGACCATTGATTTGCTGGTTGAGAAATCGCCCGGTGCCTGCTGCAGGCCTCAGACAAAAGCTGGGTGGCCGCGCCGGGGAGTTTATTCCTCTGGGCAGAGTTAGGGCCATTTGAGAGATGAGAAAATAGAGGCCCTGGGGAATCAACCACCTGCTCAGCCTCACACAGACAGTAAGTGGTGGGAACTGAGCTTCTCTGACCCCCAAATTTATGTGCTGGCCCCTCCGGTGAGGTACAGACAGAAATGATAATGGGAATCATCCCCGGGTGGAAATCACTTGTCTGAGAACTTCCAGGGTTTAAGTCATAACCCGAAGATTCCCATTGAGACTCCCATTTTATCAGAGAGGAAGTAGGCACAGAGAGGTGTTGTCACTGCCCGAGGGCACACAGCCAGGGAATGGCAGAAATATAAGGTCTGCTGGCAGCCAAAATTGGGGAAAAGGGCAAGCCTTGGTTCCAGCTCTCCCTCCAAGCAAGTGGTGGTTCCACTGGGGAAACACCCAGCACCAGGTGGGTGCAGATACCCTGCGGGCGACAGTCTCAGTGGCAAAGCTAAGGAATCTTACAGCTTCGAGACTCTATCAAGGGTACGATGAGTCCACAAGTAACTAAAATGCTGGTCATGGAGGGCTTCCTGACAGAGGGTGCTTTTGCTTTGGCCCCTGAGGACTGGGTTGCTCCGACCAGCATGGAGTGAATAGATGATGTCGCCGGCAAAAGTCTGAGAACCAAGGGGCATGATGACCAGGAAGAACATGGGAGCTTATCAGAGGGTGGAAGTAAAAGGGAACTGAACTAGAGTGTGTCCAGGATCTTGAGCTAAATACCCACCATGTCCAGAAGAAGAGCACGGGAAGCAGTGAAGGTGTGTCTCACGGGGGAGGGATGTGATAGGACCTGGGTGCCATAAGTCAGTCTGGCAATCTTTGCAGGGCCTTGGGAGTCACAGATTGGGGTGGAACCCCAGCTTCTGTTCTCTTGATGACTGTGTGTCCTTAGACAAGCCACTGTACCTCTCTGGGTCTCACTGTCCTCATCTATTCAAGGGAATAATAACAGTTTTCTAGCAGGCTTGTGGGTGGGATGAACTTGGGAGTGCTGAGTGATTTGGGGAGCTCACTGAGCCCCTCAAAACTGGGTGGGCCAAGCTCAGGCATCAGCCCAGCCAGGC